GAAGCAACGATGCTCTCAAATCATCAACCATTACCAATGTACAGCAACAACCAGCAACTACGAGTCCACAAGATTCAATTATTCCATCTTCACCACCTCCTCCACCTCCTGTTTCCTCTTCTTTAGAATCATCATCATCATCTACAAGTGAAATTGAATCATTCAATCCTCCAACAATCAATACAGAACCAGTGTCATCGACAATTAACACAGAAACGTTATCAACAAGTACTCCAATTGAAGCTGAAACATCTGTAACAACACCATCATCACAAGAAACCTCCTCTTCAGATGTAATGTCAGAGGCTGAACATTTAGAACTGTTGACCAAGATGAGAGACAGAAAGAAGAGTATTATGAGTGGATCTGCATTCAGAGAAAGAAGAATGACAAGATTTGCTATGGAAAGCAATGAACAACAATAATTTACTAATAATTGAAAATATTCTCTTTCTAGTTCAATTACAATTTTGAATTAACTTGTGCATATTATTGCACATAAGCCAACAAGAAACAAATAATTAAATCCATTATTATCAAACGTTTTAATTAAATCTCCTTATTTTAAGCCTTTAATTCCCCTCTGTAATTATTATTATTTAAATTAGTTGATGAGAATAGTCCATAATTCCAATAATCTCTTCAAATGTCCACTTGCCCCTTTAAAACATCAGTAGATCGTTTCCACTGTCTATAAAAATCCGTAGTTTCCAATCTATTGGCAATGTCTCTAACATTTTTCATCACCTCAATCATCAACACATCCAAATCACTAAATTTCACAACTTCACCATTTCTACACTTATCCAACAAGAATAGAAAATCCAATTTGACTTGATTTGAAATATTTAACTCATACATGGCATACGTTTGAATGAAAATATCATTTAGATAATTCAAATCCTTTTCTAAAATTGCTCTATTCTCCAAAGATAGCAAAAATTCAACACATAAAATATTCTCCAAATTATTTTCCTTTTCAGAATAAACATAAATCAAGTTAAAGTAACTTTCGTCTCTCATTTTCAATTCAATGCCATGACCTGTTGATTCCTCCTCCTTCCTGAAATAGTTTTTAATGATTGAAAACCATTCCATTGCAATGGCATTTCCACCCGATCCCAAAGTTATAATTAAAAAACCAAAGAATGATCCAACTCTGAAAGTAACTTTGGATTCGAATATGTAGGGAGCAATGGCAAACACCTGAAAGAGATGAGTAATAATATCCAATCTCATAAACACAGGATCATCAAAGAGTAGGTAATATTTCAGACCTTTCGTCCTCAGAGTTTTAAAATTTAGAATAAAGTCCAAAATGAATAGAAATCCAAATGCCAAAACTTCAATCATCCACCAAACCATATAGTAATAATATGTAAAATCCACAAACTTGTCATCCATTAAATAATAATATCCAAGTGGAAGAACAGACATGGCTATGGACATACCAAATGGCCACAGCATGACAATAATTAAATTTCCAATCCATTTTGAGAATAAAATCCTAAATGCAGTCATGTGTTCCTTCTTCACTCTGGCAATGATTTTGTAATAATATCTGGAAATAATTAGACGCAACGTCACAAAAATCAAACTCAATGAATAGGCATTTGTTAATCCAAATTGAATTGGAATTGTAATAGTTGTACAAGTGTTATCAAATCCAATAATAATTGCATGAGAAACTATATAATAAAGTGGTGCTAAATATGGAGCTATTAACCTTCTTTTTATGGAAGGTTTCGAATAGATTGTCAATAATCCAATATAGTATATGACAAATAAAATAACCATCAATAAATATGGAATAAAGGTTTCGTCAAAAGGTGCAACTAGACAATTATTTATACCAACACCATCCACTGTATAGGCACTATAAAAATCATATCTATGTTTGGCACAATTAAAACATTCTGAAATGTAAAAATCAAATATTGACATATTTCCATTTTGGAATTTCCATTGAGATTCGGATATTTGTAAAGTTTCGTTTAAATTTAAATGAAATTTTGATGAGAATTTTGAGAAATCATTTGAAATTCCATTAAAAAATCCATTTTCATATCTATTAACTCTAAAATAGTAATAAAAATGCCATACATAGAAAACTTGGCTACACATTAAATTTTTTCCATTTACAAAAGTTAAATTTCCTTTTATAGCATTATTAAATGCCAAACCTTCCAAATAAATTGCATTTAAAATAACTTTAAAATCATTTTCAATTAATTTAATATTTTTCAAATCATCCAATTCAACATTTTCATCCAAACATAAAATTCCAATTTCCTTTAATGGAAATACATTCCATTCCTCCCATAAATATAAATCCGAATTTGGATACAAGGTAGAATTATGTGCATCCCATTTTGGAGAAAGTCCAGCAAATTGTGGACCCAACGAATAATCATCAACAATAATTAAATCAAATCTTTCTAACATACTTCCAGCAAAACAGTCAACTACGGCACCATAGGCACTAGAATAGATTTTTGATGAGGGAAATTGTTGGGAAACGTAGTTGACTAGTGCAGGATCACAAATAATTTCCAAATCTTTACCTGAATTTTGGATTGACAAGGTTTCGTCTAGATTCGAATAACCTTTATATTTCAGTGAATAGGCATGTAGAGTGAGAAAGGAACCAACTTTTGTTTTGCAATTCTGTTCCGAAACTTGTTCAAAATATCTCGGTTTAATTATTGATAATGGCAATGATGCTTCCTGACCTTTCGAGTAATTGCAATAGGTCTGATGTGGAAATAGTCCAAAGTTTTCTCTTCCATTATTATTACAAATAGTGTCCACAAGAGTTGTATACGTTTCGTATGGTGTCATTTGATGAAATGTATTCTGTGTGATGTGTCCACTGCTGCCAACTGTCAAGAAAAATAGGAAGAAGAAAATTGCGTAAGAATCTGTCATTGTTTTTTATATTGTTGTTGCTGTTGTTGTGGGATTGGACATCATTCAAAGTTGTCAACATTCGTTTAGTTTCTTCCATTTTCGTTTATTGATCAAATTTCGTATTTAAAATTATTGGAAAGAACTATTAGGGAAAGTCTAGTCGACATCTTACACGTTGGAATACTTTATTTTGCATTCAATTTCAAAAATATTAATATAGGTAGCAATTAAATTCAGTAATCAACCAAAAAAGGAAAAGTTATCTTTCGAATTTAGAGAATGAACATAAATGCTGAGGAAAACATTGTTTTTAAGAAATTTCAAATCCATAAATCTTTTCAATACAATCCTGATATCTTCTTTCTATTTCTGGAAATTCACCAGAAATGGAGAATTTCTTGCTTTTACAAGCCAATTAATTGACAATAAATACTCACAACATGAGTTTAATTGTTACTACTAAAAAAATCAAAATCATCAAAATGAAATTAATTCTTCTTGGTTTAGTTGTGCTCCTTTCGTCTGCTTTCTTTTTAACTTCAACGGTTAAGGCCATTGTCCAATTTGGAAAATGTAACGATCAGATGCAATACAAACAAAATCTTCAAGTGAGTTCCCTTGTGGGTCTTTGGTATCAAGTTGCCACTTATAGAACTTTTTTGGAACGTGGAGTTTGTGCCTCCATTAATGTTACCTTAAGTAGTGATGGTTCTATGCTCAACATTGCTGAATCTCATTATAGAGGTGGTAGAAAGGACTATTTCAATTTAACTGCATCCCCAAATGCTACTACTCCTGCTAAAATGATAGTTTCCTATCAAGTACCACAAAGAAGAGACCAATTCGAAACTGTTCAATTTCCAATACAAGTAGTCGATACTGACTATATCAGTTATTTACTCGTCTGGTCATGTGAGAATAGTAGAACTGCCTTGTATAGCAATGAAATGGCCTGGCTCTATGTAAGAACACTTGATGAAGCTTCCCATTACCAAATGAGAACTAAAGTTTGGGATCGATTGGAAGATTTTGGAATGAGAAGAACCTATTTCCAAGAAACTAGACAAACAATGTGTGATTATAAGGAATTAGAATAGGTTTAATATATACAGACATGGTATTGAAAAATAAATGTGTGAATTTGAGTGTGAAATTATTTTGTCTCGAGAATTGATTGTAACTTATTCAATTGTAAACTAATCTCTGTAAATGAAGGACGACTAGAAGGATCCTTATCCCAACAAACTTTTATCAGCTCTATAAATTTCCTAGTAAATTCTGATAATTTTTCCAATGATAATTTCTTCTCTGTTGGTAAAATAAATTCACTCAACCAAACATTCATCTCCTCATTGGTAGAGAAGGGTATTTTAGGTCTTGATCCCTTTAACACATTCAATAGAACATTGTATTCATTCATACTATTTGATGAATCATTTGATCCAAATCTGTGAATTTTGTAAACTCTAGAATTGTAATAACAGTGTTCTTCAAAGAAAACTTCCCACATGATAATGGAGAAACTGTACACATCGACCTTGGTGGTATAGGATCCACTTTCAATCATTTCTGATGCTATATAGAAAATTGTGCCTATATTCTTAGTTGAGGCACTATCATTAGGTGTTGATAATCCAAAATCTGAAACCTTTCCAATAAAATCATCAGTAATGAGAATATTTCCTGGTTTTAAATCTCTGAAGATGGAAATTAAAAATCAATCCAAATGATGAAACTTACCTGTGAATTATAGGAGGATTCAATGTGTGAAGATATTTCATTCCGTTGGCAACTGAAATTAAAATATCAAGTTTTCTTTTCAAATTTAAAGTAGAAACTCCTATTCTTGAATTGTAAATCAATCGATCCAAACTTCCATGATTAATATACTCCACAACCATATATCTGTGATTGGAGGTCATGGAAATTCCATAAAATTTGACAATATTTGGATGAGATAAACTATTTAAAATTGCTGCTTCTCTTTCAAAATCACCTATTTCATCTCCAATTGTATCTGACTTGAGTGATTTGATAGCAACTTGTTTACCTTTCCATTTACCCAAATAAACAATCCCATTACTTCCCTCTCCTATTTTCTTTTCAATTGAAATTTCTTCAATTGGAATAATCAAAGATTGTGAAGAATTGGAATTATTTGAATTGACCAAAAGTGGTTGACTTTCATAATAGAATGAATTTTCAATAATTTTGTCTTCCAAATTCTTTTCGGCAATTTCCTTTCTCTTGAGACGGTTTAGTTTCACATAAATATGTCTCACTCCTCTGAATGTAAGAATCAATAAAAGAATGATAACAATCATTAATAGAATTCCCAGAACCACACTTATTGGAATGATAATTAGAGCAGAATTATCAACAATTGTATCATAACAAACGAAACCCGTAGAAAGTGGATTTTGAAGTTCTTTTCCCTTTGGACAATCTAAAATATTAATGGTGATATTCTGAACAATATTTTGGATTGTAATATGTCCGTGTACTTGTTTCAGTTGTCTTTCTTCTATGGCAAGTGAATAGGTTACTGCATTCAGTTGATTTGGAATAAACTTTTTCGAATAAATCATACCATCTGATAAAGAAACAAAAACGTCCACTTGACTTTGTAACTTTTTGACTGGAACTCTTTCTCCATTATTGTAGGTCTGTAAATTTTCTATACTAATTGTCAGCTCTTGTCCTGGATATTGAGAGTAGATAATATCTTGATTTTCAATTACTTTTGTAACAACAGTATTATTACCAGATATTACATCTACAGAAAGTGTGATATTGTTAAGCGGTTCTCCAATGAAATCTCCATACGATCCGGCTTCATTATGATCCTTCAAGAGAAAACTTGATTCAATATATGGACCTGGCTCTGAAATATAAATGCAACCTCCAGAGAATAGCGCACGACTATATTTACACTCCAAATAATCCAAAATCACGAATGGTTTTGGATTTTCAACAAAAATAGCACCTCCAAGTTGGGCAGTATTATAGTCCATTGTAGCTCTCAATTCCAAAGGATCAGTACCCAATAATTTGGCATAGATAGCACCTCCCATTAGGGCACTATTGTTGTAAGCGAGTAGGTCTAATGCAATTGTCAGTCCTTCAATATAGACAGCACCTCCTTTCACTGCCTTGTTTCCGTTAAAATAGCCATCCTTAATTTGAATGGTATTTGCCTTAATATAAACTCCATTTGGTATTGTTAAATCTCCATTATTGTTAAAATCACAACTATCTAGTAGGAAAGATGACTGGACAACATCCATCAATGAATCAACACGTAGGGAAATACTAGTATTTCTAAAGTTAGTTTGAAAAAGTGAAATGTAATTGCTTTGAGAAACGCTGATACCATTCTTAACATTATCAAAATTATTCACTTGGAACATTGTTTGTAAAGTGTTTGCAATTTGGAATACTGGATTGTTTGAAAGCAAATTATTAAAATCATTCCATCCTATGTATAAAACATTTATGTAATAGGCAGAGAATTGAAAGTCCCCATTGCTCACCTTATTATTTTCAAATTTTGAAGACGTCAAAAAGCTCTGTCTAATAGTTACAGAGCCAGTGAAGGTATTGTGTGAAATATGAGAGGTGGATGTTCTATAAATCAAAAAATCTGAATCCTTCACTCTACTGTGAAATAAGGAAAATCCTTGTTCAACGGCAAACATGTCTTCTTGAGAAGAGGAAATAAATTGATACTTTTCAATGGTACAATTATTGAAAAATGTGCCAGGATCGAAAGATGGAATCTCTTGTACGTGTTTGATGTTTCTAAGTGTGGAATCTGTAAAATTTGCTGTAACAGTTGCATAAAATTCAACAAATTCCAATTGAGAATTTACAATGGATACAGAAATTGTTCCAAACTGACGACTTGATTCATAAATTAATGAATTATTCAGAATAGAATTCTCAATCTCTATCAATGGAACTGAAACCAAAGTATTGTCATCATTATTCATACTAAAATCATATAGTTCCAATCTCGACAACTTTAATCTATTCATGGCATTTAAATAAGTAAAGAGAGATCTTCCATTACATTTAAATTGAATCCTCTTGCTCTGATTAAATGGTTCCAAAATCAGACTCTGCAATGGTTGATAAGGTGCCATTCCACACTTATATTCTCCATCCATCAAATAGACATGAACTCGAGTATTTCCAATAGAATTGGCATAGGAAATGGCATCTTCTACACTCTTGCAAGGATTATTCGGGGATGTACAATTGTGTTCCGTATTTAATGATGATGGCTGAACATAGACAATTGAATAATCATCAGATGATGAGAATGGCAACTGTTGATCTAATGATACTGATGACGGTGGTGATGAATAATTAACTTTGTGTCCATATGGAGTGAATTCTCTTCTGGCCATACTAGTTCTCTGACCATAATGATCTCGCGGTTGTGTTGTTGTTTTTGTTGTTGTAGTCAGCACTGCTGGTAGTAGGTACCACATGAATAACAAAATGAAAATCGGGGAGATTTGGTGTCGCTTCATTTTTTTCTTTGTGAGCTGGAAAATGCAAAAAGAGCTTCTACTTCAAACTTTTAATGAGGAACATTCTATTCACAAGATAACAAAAAACTGGAACACCCAAATCTGTATCTGGATAACCTCAATACGTTTCGATATGATACTATTGCTTTACTGATCTAATAAAAATTCATCTAAGAATTCTTCTAATCTAGTGTGAAGGTCATTGTGAGGAGAGTCCAACATTGGTGGAGCTGAACTCACAAAGGATGTATCAATTTCATGAAGGAATTTCTCAAGTTCTAGACAAACTTCTGAAGGTTGAGCTGAAGCTGCCTTATATTTGCTTCGCATAACATTGAATGCTCTGAGATCTTTCCTCAGTAATGTAAGGTAATCAGTATTGTTATGTATCAGCGATCCAGTATGTCTGAGAGTTTTGGCTTTTTCTAAATGGACTTTTGCAGCTGCATTTAAAAAGGCGATAAGCTCCAAAGGAAAAACAGGGAACCATGGATTTTCAGTGAGTGCTGTAATTTGAATAGCACTTTGGTCTATCATTCCAGAAATTACAACAGAATCCCGTTGTGGTGATTTGGATAGAATTGAAATTCTAGCTCCATCTAGAATAAATTGATAAACTAGTTCTATAATTTCCAAATAAAATTTGGAGCTTTCTGATGCAGAAATATTAGATCGTTCTATTGCCTTTGATTGATTGAGAATCATTTCTACCAAGCTCCAAATTTCAAAACAATTTTCAGCTGTAATTTCCGTATTGAGAATATTAATCCACTCAGCAGGGAATGGCTTTCTATGTAAAAATTCAAAAATGGCTGGCAGCCTCTTTAGAATATCTTCCACTGTAAGATCTTTCAGTTCCCTATTATCTATAAATATTATTCTGTCAAAATAAAATATCCAACCCTGTAAATTTTGTTGATATTCAGTCATAGAATCAATATCACAATCCTGTGGGAATAGTTTCTTCTCGAAAAAGGTCAAAATTTGCAAGTAGAATTTACAATTTTCAAATCTTCCTGACCAAAGTTCATATACAATAAGCTTACAATATGCCCCAGCAACCATAAAACTAGAAAAATTATCAAACACTCTAGACAGGCACTTTTTGGCCTTTTCAGCTGATTTTTCTGCTTGTTCATGAAGTCCGTATTGACATTCACAGAGTGCCTTGATAGAAAAATAGATTGAAGGCATTTCAAAATCGACTAGAGTATTGAGATCTTGATTCTCATCAAATTTTCCAGCAAAATTTTCCAGCTCCTGCCTTGACAATAGTGGATAACCTCCAGCTACAACATCATAATAGAAATCAATCATGTTAGGTTTAGAAAGAGAAGATGTGAGAGCTGTTGATTCACTTGGTGAAGTTTTGTTAGTGGTAGTATTAGTCTTTGGTTTTGAATATGGTTCATATTGAGTTTCAGTTCTCTTCTTTTGTACAATTGATGGTGGTTGAATGTTTGGTTTCTTTTTCAAATTCCTCTTTGATTCTCTATAGTGACAATTAATTCCTCGTTGTTGGCATGAATAACAAGATGGTTTTCTCTTATCACATTTTCTATTTGAATTATTAATTGAAAAAAGATTAGAAGAATACACGTACCTATGTTGTGATCTACAATGGTCGCATGCAATAGGAGAAAACTCTTCTGTTGACTGCTCCACAACTGTTGTACTATTAGATTTTGAATTATTACTACTATCACTACTATTTGGACTAGTATTAGAGAATATTATTGTTTCGGAATTTGTTTTTCCCAACAAAATATCACTATTTGAATCAACTATTGCCGTATTAGCTCCTCCTACTACTGTATGCATCAAATTATTATTACTACTATTGTCAAGACTTGGATTAATTGCAGCAAAATTAAATAATTCTAAAAAGGTGCTTGGCATCATGCCTCCTCCTCCCTGCATCATCATCATCATGTTATGTAATTGAATATCCATCTCTGAATTACTATTTTGTGTCGAAGACGAACCAACACCATGATTAAAGGCTATTGCTGGTCCCGATTCGGCTTGAAAATATGAAGAAGGAGCAGTTGAATTCATTGCCGAAGAAGAAGAAGACAGAGGCGAACCAAACGGAAACAATGAAAATCCATGTTGTTCTTGCTGTTGTTGTTGAGTATTCTGCTGCTGATACATGAAACTATTAAAATTATTATTAAAATTATTTGATGAATTCGGAGAGTTGAAATCTTGGTTCATTTTTTTATTTTTGAATTTTGTTTCTATTTTGGCGGTAACCGAAACTTTTGATTCGAATTTGAGGATCTAGTTGGCTTTGGAGCTCCGTGTATGAGTTTCTTATTCTCATGAGTTGAAATTAACAGAGTGGGTGGTGGATGGTATTTACAAGATTGGGCTGAGTTGCTATTGTTACAGGTAAAGTGCTCTTGTTGATTTTCATCAATTCCTTAGAGGGATTCTTAGACAACAACTTCGTGATGGTGATCGTCATCCATTGACGAAGATGCAGAACTAGTTCCATTCTGAGAAGGAGATAATTCTGATTCAATCTTTTCAGTTTGGTTGGTTGGCAATTGCAGTAAGAGCTTGTTGGATTCCATTGGACTAGTTTCAGTTGTTGGAGTGATGGTTGATGGAGATTCAATGTGAGAGCTGCCGGCAACGTGGAGCATCAGTTCCTTCTCAACCATAGAGACACCACCGGTATGACCTGTGGAACGTTGTGAAATAGAGCCATTATTGAAACCGTGTGATTTTTGAGCATTTGTCTTGGAAATTTCAATTTCCTTAAAGGCAACTTCAGTGTTAACAAACATTGGATAAAAGAGAAAGAGAATAATGACAGCAAATATCAAAACTCCCAAACAATTGAAGAAATACCACAATGGCTATTCAATTTGTTAAATTCAAATGAGAAACCAAGTAACAACATACCTTAATGATATCAATTTCAGTAGCACCACTAGCAATACCAGCAGCAACCAATTGGAAGAGAATGCAGGCAACCAAGGCCATCAATAAACCAAAAGTAACCTTGAATGGTGATTGAATACGTTGTTCAATCTTTCTATCAATGGATGTTCTTTCAACAGGTGCATGTGCTGATGGTAAATTAGTGGACTTTTCACTTTCAATACTTCCACGAGGAGTCATATGTCCTGTTGAGAGAGTATTTGTGGTGGTCTTGTGATATTTCTGTGAAGTTGCCATCACTGCACGTGTTGTCTTCTTGATGGTTGTAATAACTAAAACACCTGAAATGACTGTTACAATGCCATCAAAAAGTAACATGACCAAAATGACTAAGAAACAACCAATGTAAACACCCATAGTTGGTGTTTTACCAACCATGTCTGATTTTTGAAGGAAGAAGAAGGCAGAAACTAGACAAATCATCAATTCACACAAAATTGTAAAGACAAGTGTTGAAATATTGAGTGTCCATTGAATGATGAATAATGTTTTCTTTGAAATGGCACCCATCAATTGTGCAGTTGTCCAACTGTTTAATCATTATATTCCAATAGTTCATCATAATCATATTTAATACACAATCAATATATTTACACACAAAAATGTAAAAAATTCACAAACTTTCAATTAAAACTTACAAAATCTTTTGGAAAAAGAACAAGACAACAAATAAAAAGGCAAAATCAGAAAACATGAAAAAGATTGTCAGTGCACCCATTAAATTCAATGCAATAAAGAAGGAACTTGACATTTGCTGACCAGTTTCACTCACAACTTTTGCATAAATATGCATAGCATCATAAACTATACGAATCACCAAATTTGTAGATTGAATGGCAACGAAAGTAATTGCCAAGATGAACATAATCTTTGGATTTCTCTTGATGTGAATGTTTCGTATTTTGTATAAAAAGATACCCAATGCTACATAATAAATAGCAAAACATATTAAATAGAAAACAGAATTTGCCATTGACAGTGAATTTACCCAAACAGGTAGATAATGTGAAGAAGTAACATTGGCGTATCCATCAACAAATGGTGGATTGACAATTTGAAACGGTGTTACAGTATTCGAATCATCAATACTATTCGAATCTTGAAAATCAGCAAACATTGCATTAGTGATGAAGGCTGAAGATTGAGCGAATTTACTTTGAGTGAGTGGTATGAAGATCTTGTCCATTACCCACGGCAACATTGTCAGAAGTGCAGAAGACATTCTTTTGTTTTTTTTTTAAAAAGTTTCATCATGACCAGTTTCGTCTATGAAAAAACAGTTTAGGATGAAAATGGCGATAATTTTCAGCAGTTTGAAGAGGTTAATGTTTTTCATGCAACTAGATGCGAATTGAGGGTATGATGATAGGGAAAGGGTTTCCAATAAAATCCTTTTTCGCATTGACTGTTTCTTTTCATGCTATCCTAAACCGGACGAATTAAATCTATGGCAACTTTGAAAAAAGCCGAGTTTATTGAAATGGCAAAAATTTCAACAACACCTTTTTGATGGCATCCAATATAGCATGTTTTACAGTTCGTTGTGAATAACATGGATGCATTTCGAATAGTTTTGAATGCATTCTTTTTTCATTGTAAAATGCATTCGAAACTGGGTGGTTGTATAAAAACATTCTACTGGCGGGAATATCGTTTAGCCTTCCGCTTGCAACTATTTGGAAGAAACTTTTAAAAATTATTTTACAAAATCCTTCCATATTAGGAAATGCCTCAACATGTAATTTCAATAAAGAATCCCAATAACAAATCAACAATTGCACAAGTTCATCATATATTGGACTTGATCAGCTTTATTGAAATGTTAAGGTTCTCAATAGAAGCTTAATATGAATGGTCAACTCTCAATTTGGTAAATTTGTGAGATGAATTTTTGTATTAAAATGGAAATTTTTCTTGGTTGTGTTGGTTATTATTGATTGAAACAGTCTGGTGATGTCCAAAGAAGTTTTGCTCTTCTCCTTTTTACTGTTAAATACTTTTTTGTAGTTTGTGTGAAAACACTTTACAACACAATATCCAAAAACACAACTTTCTTTCATTTACATTGTTTGTTTTAAATTCGACTCCATTTCCCACCACTGTTTACAGCAACTATTCGAATTTCTTTCTTACAAGAAAACAATAATTTGTGTTAGAGCATGTTCAAAGGAGATGAATCTTTAAAACAAAATTTCAAGAACACAAGAATTTAAAGATATTCTTGCATGTTTAATTGCCATGTTCGGATCTTTTTTCATATTTTTAATCAAATCTTCATATCAACAGTATTTCATTGTTTCTTCACTAGTGTCGACAATTAAATTGGGAACTCAATCTCATGTTAATGTTAATGAAGAAATTGTAATGGGTTTTAAAGGTGATTTTTGAAGTGTGCAGAGGGCTATTTGTGAATCGAATTTACCTTTTTATGCTATTACTTTCAAAGTGGACAATTTAAGTGTAACATCAAATTAATCGAATGTTGCCAGAACTGAATTGAACACAAAAGATGCCTTTCAATTAATGTATTCCTTAATGAGAGATTACCATCATCGGATGAAATTACTTACATCAAATTTGAATTCAATTATTCCATTCTAGGTCCATTTGCCACTTACAAAGATGATAAAGATCAAAGAACTTTTGAATTTGGTTGGAATGTGAAATTTGAAAAAGGAAAAGTTGATCAAGCTTCGTTTAGAGTTGAATATCCTTCAGAATTATTTCATGCAATGAGTCATGATGGTATATCTTCAATAGATATTAAAGAATTGAACAGAATTTCAAGGTGCTGCTGGTTCTTTCATGAGCATTAACTTGAAAGGAATGTTTTCTAATTCAACAGTTGAACTATACACTCCCAAACCCATGTCTATTAGCATTATCATTGCAGCTATTGTTTTAAGTGTTTTCTTTATGTTTATATTTGTAAAGAAGAGGGTCAATAGACAATTTGTTATTCCATTCTTTTTGAATAGAAAAATAACAAAAGCTGGTAGAGGTGTCCATTAAACTTCAATCCTTAAGGTATTGAGAATAATTGGTGGTGGAAAAATGCCATTCCAATTCTTTCATACTTAATATTGACAGGAACATGGGAGTCTTCTTCGTCTTGGAAATGTTAGCAGTTTTATTCAGTAGTTCGATTTCACTTCAAACACTGACCATGACAAGGCAACTAAGAAATGAATACCAGTTACCAATGCTAAAAACCAAATTTCTGTAACTCCAGAACTACTAACCAATCTTATCAAATTGTCAGGAGTTAAAAACTTGATAGAAATGATTGATAATACCATCAATAAAACAATAAATGGCAGATAATGGTAAATCCATAAATGTTGCACCTTATCCAACCATTTCATTCCATCTCTATAAGCTCCTTCAGTGATATTTGCAACTTTCCATACTGTCTCATTGGTGTCTTGTACAAGTATCTTTGCCGTATTATTAGTAAGCTCTACAGATTGAGAAAATTGTTGTAACATTTCATTCAGTCCTTCTTGAGTTGCCTTGATGGTTTTGTCGACAATTTGATCTGTTTTATCCAGCACTGCTCTCACAAGAGAGGAAAACTCAGAGCATAACAAGGCAATATTGTTCAAAATTTCAGTTACATGGGTTTCTATCAAGTGTTGAAAATTGTCAATTTTATCCAACAATACTTTCAACTTTTGAGAAAATTGAAGTAAAATTTTGGCTGTAAAATCGTCAATCATTTCCTTGGCCTCTTGTACTGTATGAAGAGCCTGATGACCAACACGATCCACCAATTTTTGAAACCATACTTTGCAAGTCTTTAGTTCATGTAAAGATTTCTCAACAGTTCCTTTCATGTCGTTTCGAATATTTTTCAATAGAGACTCCAACTTGTTGGTAGAGGTTTCAATTGCATGACTGACTTCTTTCGCAGCGTCCTTTCCTGCTTCTTTGCCAATACTACCTCCCATCCTTTCTTTTTGTTTTTTATTTTAAGAATCACGTTTCGAATAAATATTA